GGAGCCTGGGCTGGGGGAAGCCAGCTTAAAAGCTAGTTTCCCCCAGCACCGTCTACATGGTGCCGCCTCCCCCAGAGTCATCAGCGTGGGGGGAGTAAGGGAGGCTGTCGCAAAGCAGCCTCTGTTCGTGGTGGCCCAAGTTGGCTGTGGACAGGGGGTGCTGCCGGATCAGCCTCTGCCTGCAGCCAACCTAGGCCACCACAAATGGGCTGCTGCCAGAACTGCCTCTGTTCGCAGAGGATGGGACTGGCACCTGGCTCCTACTACATTTAAACTGTAGAGCCGCAGTGGGGTAGCTCATGGATCAGTGCGAGCTGGGACAGAGCACCTTCCCTTATCAACTAATCATGTAGCCGATACAATTTGTATCGACTACATGATTAGTCAATTACCCACCTCATAACATCCTTAATATCAATCTCACAAATCTTGCTCTACTTCTTGGACTCAGTGGAAGCCTGGAATTGATGACCCTTAACAATGCAGGCATCCTATTAGTTTTAGTAAGCTCAGCTGGAATTCAGAGTCAGCCTTCCTGACTCAAAGCCCAATAGAGCTTGTAACTGGAACAGTGCTGATAGGTGTCCTGTTCCAGCCTAGGGTTTGCTTAAAGAAGTTCAGTCATTCTGAAAAGGCCAGTATCAAGTAGGAGCCTTCAGGGATAAGGAAAGAAGAAGCTTCTTAACAAACGGTCCACTCTTCATTCACTACACATGCTTTAATTGTGTTATCTTTGTCCTGCTTGCCTCTCTTATTATAGCTGCTCTTCAGTTTCAATCATACCACTCCATTATGAAGAGTTCAAGAGAATGCTAAAATTAGACACTGTGAAGACAATTCCTGACATTTTAGTAAACTTATTTCACTAAACTGGACAGAATAGTAATTGAGAGATAACTGGTATGTGAGAGAAAGAGAGAGAAATACATTACACACTAACATGTAGAATTAATTTAGACAGTACAAACGACATGCTGACAAGGTTTTAGTCCACAAGTTATATGGATTGTAAGGTGGCTAACTTTACCTTCAACATTCTATAGAACTTACATTTATTAAGTGCTCTTTTCATTTTCTGATCATACCAGTATCTGATCAGTTGCTCCTCCAAAACTAGAATGCCCAGGATAAGTAGAAACACAGAGTGCTCTGATCTGTCCCAACCAGTGACCAGAAGAAAGATGCACACAGATAAAATTAAGCCATTCTCCCAGCAAGCACACAAGCACTTAAGACGCATCTGGAATGGGAAAAACTCCTTGGACCTTGACAGATTTCTTTTTGATATTTTTGTTTACTTTGCTCATCTGAAACTGTCTCTCACGCACTTAGGGCTTGTCTATACAAGAGGTTTAATCCAAGGTTTGAGTTAATCTGCTTCGAAAACACCTGCACAAACACAGTACAATTCACTGCAGTGCACTGACTCTGCATATATTGAGAATTCTGAAGTTCTATTTCAAAGTGAACTAACGTTGTTGCAAAGCATGTTAGTCTTTTATGCTGTTTGGGTGCATGCAGTGCTGCTGCAAACTATATTTATAGTTTCCCTAATAGCTTTGCAGTTGACTGTTACTGAACAGTTTACCTGTGTGTTCTCCCTTGCTTTATGCTCAAGATGATTGGATGTCCTTTTCCCTCTTTACAGGCTGGCACAGAGCTAGGTATTATCCATTCACTTTTGGATTCCAGAAATGCTAGAACATGCCCTGAGAAGCTGCTTATTTTCTTGCTACGAGTGAATACCACCTCTATTCACTAAGAAAAAATTTGCTGAATATACAAAACATCTTAAGTTCTAGCCAAAAAAGTGAGAACATTGATATAAACTAGGGCTTCTTGCTCAAACATCTTAGGCTGCAAATGAAAACAAGATTTTCCTCTTTGCTAGAGCCCCAGACCAGGGTAGGGGGAGGAAGCAAGATCTCTCACTCTAGCAATGTAGATCTTTTCAGATTTCAAAGCAACCAGTGACAACACACACACACAATAAAATTCAAGATCTTGGTGTTTTACCACAGCTTATTAACCTCCACATCTGGGAACAAAATATGCTATAAGCAATACCCTGTGATTTCTGAGATTCCACAGCCAGAGTTGCCTGTGAAATTCAGCGCCTAGTCCTCATTACCACTACAGAACTTGGCAACAGATTTTTAGCTTCTGCTATTAAAAAAAATTCCCCAAAATCCCCATTTTGTTTTCCACTCTGGAAAAGAGTCTCCTAACTGTTCTTCTTGTCTCCATTCACCCACTCCCAATTTTCTCAATGTTTTCAAGATTAAATGGCCTCTGATTTGGGTTTGCAAGACACCTTCCTTTCTCAAAGCTCACCGGTATTAATTTGTTCTGTCAAGCATTACAGCAAACATGCTACACGGCTACATCATAAACATCCAGGAACCCAGCCCTGATGCCAACTCTGCCCACATAGCTATACAAGCGAATTCACTGCTGGAGCCAATCACATAAGCCACCAAATCAGAGGTTAATTTAACTGCACATGCAGGAATCTAATCTATGCTATCAAATGCCAGCAATGCCCCACTGCAATATATATTGGGCAAACTGGAGAGTCCCTACGGAAAAGAATTAATGGACGCAAATCAGATATCTGTAAAGGGAACATACAAAAACCTGTTGGGGAACACTTCAATCTGCCTGGGCATTCATTAACAGATCTTCAAGTGGCTCTTTTTGTTACAGACCAATTCCACAAGCCAAATACACAGGGAAGGACTGGAACTACAATTCATTCACAAGCTTGATACTCATGCTAATGATTTAAATAAAGATACCAGATGGCTGGGACATTATCAACCTACCAAAAACGAAGATGCCAATGGTTCTGTCTGTATAGTATCTGGTGTTAGTACTTGTCCTTACTAACTGCCTACTAATGGTTCTTATCTGCCTCTTTTGACTATCCAGTCTTTAGGTGCTTATGACTATTTGTTTTTCCTGTTACATTCCAGCTAGCCTTTCCCCTTAATATTTTTATACCCACTGCCTCTTCTTGTCCTTCCCCCCTTTTCTCCTATTTATTTTAGTTCTGGTCATCCATCACTCTGGTCATCTGAAGGAGTGGGCTGTGACCATGAAAGCTCATGACACCATCTACATGTTATCAGACTATTTGTTGGGTTTTTTTTTAAGTTTACTCCTCTGTGTGGTGGAGTTGGCAACAAATCATTTGTTAGACATGCACTATTTATTGTACATCAGATACAGATGATAGTATGTAAAATAGTATGTAAAAATTACCAACAACCACAGGACATACCACACTAATACCAACCCTGGTACCTTCCCTTGCAACAAACCCTGTTGCCAGCTTTGTCCACATATTCACTCTGCTGATACCATTATTGGACCTAACCAAGTGAGTTATAAGATCAAGATCCTGCGCATCCAGAAATATAATTTATGCTATCATGTGCCGAAAGTGTCCGTCTGCTATGTACATTGGACAAACATCTCAGACAGTTCGTCAAAGAATAAATGCCCACAAAACAGATATCAGACAGGATCACAAAGAATCATAGAATCATAGAATAATAGGACTGGAAGGGACCTCGAGAGGTCATCGAGTCCAGCCCCCCGCCCTCAAGGCAGGATCAAGCTCCGTCTACAAAAACAGTTTCTTGCCATTTCAACCAGAAAGGACACTGTCTCAACGACTTAACTACCTGCATCCTACTACAAAGACCTTTCAAATCTGCACTTGAAAGGAAATCCTCTCAACTGTCATTCATGCTAAAATTCGACACTCTACATCTGAGTTTAAACAAAGGATCTAGTTATCTTACCCATTACAAAGATAGCGTCCCCAATTATCACCTCTAATATCATTAGCCCACAGACATTCACCTCCCCCCCCATCCCCCTTCTGTTCTGAAATTTGATTTGTCCTTTTCATATGTGTTCATTTTTTTAAATTGTATCCTTTGGTATATATGGTTGTGACTATTTTCTTCCACTACTTGATCTGAGGAAGTGGGTCTGGCCC